GGGGACAAACTGCAACCGAGGTACATGCCCTTAGCGGGAACCGAACCCGGGTCTCTCAGGACCGCAGGCCAACGCTCTAACCCCTAAGCCAAACCGGCCAGGGCCCAACATTCCATTTTAAGGACAGAAAGATATATATGTAACAACTACACATATAATTAAAAAAGGATACAATCAGCAGATAACAATTTTTGAGGATTTTTTGGGTATTATTTGTGGGGCTCTATAGATCTTTTCCCTGTGCCTGGAAAGTCCTTCCTCCCTCTTTCCCACTTACAATGTCTACCCATTCCTGCAGAAAAGAGTTAACAAACAGCAGACCTGACTGCTTGCCTTTAAAAGACCTGCTTATGTCCTGGCCGTTTTCCTCAGTGGTTAGAGCACTGGCCCATGTACCAAAGAGTCCAGTTTCAATTCTGGTCAAGGGCACACAGCTCCGTGTGGTTTGCTCCCCTGCTCTGGTTGGAGTCGTGTGGGAAGCAACCAGTCGATGTATCTCTCTCACATCGATGTCTCTCTCTATCTCTCTGTCTGTCTGTCTCTCTCTCCCTCCCTCCCTCCTTCCCACTCTATCTGATGATAAATGGAAAAATATCCTCAAGTGAGGATTAAAAAATAAAAAGACCTGTTTATGAGGTTGGCCATTGGCTGGCCTCTGGGAACTTGGCTTTTGGGAGGGTTCCCACCATTCCCAGAACTCATAAGAGTGGCTCACTATGCCCACACTGTACAGACAATACCATTTATGCTGAACACCGGCTTCCCTTCTGGGAGTCTATATGTTGGTACATGGCAGGCAGAGGGTGCCTATGTGGCCAGTACCCAATACAAACCCTAGGCGCTGAGTTTCTAACAAGCTGCTCTGGTTGGCAACATTTCCCAAGTGTTGTTACACCATTGCAGGGAATCAAGTGTGCACTATGTGTCTCCATGGAGAACAGCCTTGGAGCAGGTGCCTGGTTTCCCCCGTCTCCCACCCCAGCACCTCTCCTCTGCTGACTGCTCCACACTGTCACTGGAATAGCTCACTGAGTTATCAGATCACTGAACGTCACACAACCTTTCAAGTCTCAGTTCAATAGGACAGGGTTTGTGGAATCTTTCTCACTTTATTAGGCAGATTTTGTTGCTTCTTTTTATCTGCTCTTGCAATGAAAGACAGTTCCTTATTGTATGATTGCTGTTTGCACTATGCTCCTTTGAAAGTACAAGCTCATCAAAGACAAAGAACTTATCTTTTCACCTTCCCTTTTCAGCACCGAGGTTGTACACCCTGGTGGCGGCATTTGCAACAGTAACTGTAGTAACAGTCAATACGTGCTGTTTACTATGTGCCTGGCACACCAAGCTCAGAGCTCTACACATATTTAATCCTTTCAACTACCTCTTGAAGTAGCTACTATTATCCTCATTATGAGAAAGGAGTGACAAGTAGGTGTTAAATGAGTGAACCAGTCCTTACGGAACGACTTCACTGAGCTATACTCTAGTGTTATGGCTATTAACCCACGTGTACGTCACCATGTCACATGCTATAAGCTGTTGCTGAAGACGTTACCTACCAGTGAGCTGCAGATCCCTCACCTGCACTGCTCCCTCAGCCACTCTGTCTTCCTCCCCATGTTCTTGCATATCCTTCCAGAGAGAGGCCAACAAATGTTAACTCAGTTTGCACAAAGGGAGGAGTTTATACACATTGTTCTTGCTTTTCTTACCTAACAACATATTCTGGTGGTCATTTTGTATTGGTACATATAGCTGCGACAACCCAATTATGAAAAAATGGCTCAGAGAGCAATGTGCACATTTGGAGCAATGTGCATAGATCTATATGCTAAAGTATCAGAAATGGAAAAAGCAGGGTCAAAGAGATGGTTATTAATTTATTTTTAACTTAAAAATTGAGATAGTATTCACATTGTATTAAATTAATCCTTTTATGGGGTACAGTTCAGTAGTCTTGAGTATAGTCACAAAATTGTGTGACTATCACGCCATCTAATTCAAAATGGTGTTATCACCACACAAGAAACACCATGCTCATTAACAGCCAAGATTTAAAAAAAAAATGTTGATAGGTTTTGCCAAAATGCTTCATCAAAATTAAAATAAACATCTTTTTGACTCACTTCCCGGTATTCATCTCACCACAATATATGGAATCATACAGGTTTCTGGTTCCCTCCCCCTCCTCCTCCCCACCTATAACAGTATCAGATAGATTTCACCTGAGAAGGCAAGTTCAAGTTTAGGAAAAAAAATGCCCCCCCCCCCAAACGTGCCAATTCTGCTGCATCCTACACAAAACGGGACCCTGGCACGCGTCCCACACTGACAAATGCACCGGAACTCCGGCTGACCTCTCCGTCCTGTACGCTATTTCAGGGGGTGCGTGCCGTCCGTATGGTGAACACTGCTGCTATCCTAACTTTGACAAAAGGGCAAACACATTCTAGTGTCCTCAGTGTTCTGAAACCAGAAAGTGAAAGAAGGAATAGTCCTTTGTGTTTATCCTTAAACCCAGGCACTGACACCATGCCAGGTTGTCCTGTCCTTGGATGCCAGTCATTGATGCCGACAGTCCCAGCAACAGGATGCCAAATGAGGCTCACTCTGAGGTACACCCTCTCCTCCCACCACCTGCCAGCCCTGCCTATGGGGAAGGACCTCACACCCTTGAAAACTGACTGAGTTTGCTGAGTGGCTTCCAACCCTACGCTGGAGACCAGAGCCAGCTAAGTACTGCTAGGTGTAGGCTTTTTCTCCTTTCTTCCTTTTCCTCATGGGTTTTTATGAACATCCAGAGGGAAGATAATTAAAACCTGCAAGAAAACTGACTGGCAAAGAAAAAGGAAATCTTGGTGACTTGGGGACGACGGCCACATGTTTATGGGTGAGTTTCGTAAGTAACATGGCAATAAAAAACAGCCTCTTATAAATAAATGCCACATTCTTCAAAGCTCCACATAAACGACATTCTTTTTAAGGAAGGAGGGAGAGCTACTCATGTTCCTCCCTCATCATTTTATTTCCAACAAGGGGAAAGGAATCCCACTAATTGTACAATTTCCTAGGAGCACGGTGGTTATGGAGCCAAAGCTTTGCAGTGCTGGTGTGTGCACTACACACACACACACACACACACACACACACACACACACACACACACCCCCCCACACACACAGAGAGAGAGAGAGAGAGAGAGAGAGAGAGAAGAAAAACAAGGAAGAAAGAGGAAAAGGCACACGAGGGTCCTTGTTTAGCACAATGGAGCAGAACAAAGGAGCAGAAGGGCAGGCATCTCATCACTTATGATTGGGTTTTCTGGCTACTAAGCACACACCCATTAACTCAAAATACAGAAGTCCTGTCTTCCTCTCTCGAGTGCTGAGTGCCCTCTGAACAGCATCAAGATTTGGATGAGTCTGTGCAATCCCCTTTCATTTTTCATCTGCTTTGCTGATTGTAACGTGAAACAGAGCTGCTCTCGCCTCTCTGCATGTGACACACGGCTGGAGGCACACACATTCCAGAGTGGCCTTCCCCAGGAGCCAGCTGTGTGCAGGTAACTGAAGCCTGCCCTTGGCCCTGCTGTTAATAAGAGTAATTGGCACACCACTGAGGGCTGCTGGAGCGCTGTGATTTGCTCTGTACGGGGGTCTCCCCAGACCATATGCACATGCAGCGGTGATAGAAATATTTTCCATATGAGCTCTCCTCTCACATGCCGAAGTGCTCCGGGCTGAGTTAGGCCGGCCCATTTGTCATTTACTCTGCACAGTGAAAAATCACAGGGAAGTTGCAAACTTCAACTACAACTAGAGGGCAATGGTTTGCTTTCAGCTCCAGCATCGCTAACCCATTCAGTTCCTCCAGTTCCCATTCAGGACCTCGATCCCCCCACAGGCCCAGAAAATATCTGCAGAGCAGAGGACATGGGTAACTCATAGGCTAAAAGCCTAAAACAAGTGACCCGTTTCTGCACGCCTTGAGCCACATCTCTATTTGAACAGAGCAACAGCCTGCTGAAACCACAGCCGGCCTGGCAGCTTGGGTTTGGGAGCACTCTCCTTCCCCTCCTTTTAGAAGAGGGAAAGTAATTCCATTAGGCTTGCAAAGCCTGCTGCACCCTGACAATACCAACTGAAGACAAAGCTGTGAAGTGGCCCCGTGGCCTTTTTAGGAGACGCACTTTCACTTGGCTTTTCAAAGAGGAAGATGGATTCAGGAAAAAGGCTGTCCTTTCATTACTCAGGCATCTGTGATTTTTCATCAACGTGTGGCATACACGGAGTGGACAACGCAAATTTGTTGCAGGCGAGGGTGGATACACCCAAGTGCTTCCCTCTCCGGCCCACATGATCGTCCCTTCCAGTCTGCGCCTGCATCATAAACTGGTGCCCACAGGCATCTATGATGTTCAGCACTCTATGCAGCAAACATATAAGCTAAACCAATATAACAAATAATCCTCATGGGCCTTCAACTTCCCTTCTTCTGTGCTAGATCTGACATGTATCACTATCCTTCAAACCCGTGATAGAAAGTTAAGCATCGATTTTCCCAAGCACATTAAAGCAAAAAAGTAGACAAGGTGATGCAAAAGCAGTCAAGAAAAGCAATTCCTCTGGCATGCATATTTTCCCTGCAACCCTGGAAAAAATTCTCAAAGGATAACAGTGCCATCAGAATCTGAAATGCACGTTTCTTCATTCTGCAGTGTCAGGAACAACATGCACCTCCAGGCATCTGTCATCAAGGCCACGCCAACTCCCCAGGGTGGCAACTGTACAACCTCATGATGAGATTTTAGAAGTTATGGGCTCTTCGAGAAGAAGAGAAGTCTGCCTATAAGAAATGGCCAGGAAAGCTTAAAACAGCAGTCTAAAGCATTACTCTTTGCATACCATAAAAGCCCATTCCCTGATTCCTGTTGATAGAAAAGGAAATATAATGCTGACAAAAATACAACTTCTGACAAGATATTTTATTTGGCTTACCTCTCCCCCAGGTCTTGCTAACACTGCTGTTTGAACGTGGAGCAATGTTAATATCAGGTAGCTGACAAACATTATTACCCAAAGTTAGAACTACCCTAGAGGAGAGCTCCGTCTGCCAAGTGCTAACAGCTAGCAGATGCACTTGTGTCCCGGGATTCCAGCCCTGGAGTTCCGCTAGGCACCGCGCGGTTCCCTCTGCTCTCCCTCACTGTACTACCCGGAGCTCCGAGCTCAGCCTCTGCTCCGAAGAAAACTGGTAAGCTGATCTCTTCATGTAATAACTTCTCCCGGCTGGGGGAGGGGACAGGAGCCAGCTGGGAGCTGGGGGGCTGCCTTTAACAGAAAGCAGAAAGGGGAGGGACAGAAATGATCAATGTGGAGTTCTGCATCTGGTCTCATTCATGAAAAGGCTCCAAGGTAAGCACTCCACATGCAGGGGGACGACCCCTGCTTCATCAACTGAGGCAGGCAGGAGGCGGTGGGCTGCAGCAGAATGAGCTCCAGGCTGGGAACTGGGAGACCTGGGGCCTTCCTAGTCCAGCATCTGTTGCCAACGAGGTGTGTGTGCCTGGATAAGTTGCCAACTTTCTCTGGGCATCAGCTGGTTTTTTCACTGATATAATCAAGGGCTGGGTGGATGACTTCTGAGTTCCCTTTTAAATCTGATTTGATTGCTACAGAAATCTAGGCAGTCAAAGGCTCAAAAGCCTCAAAGGAAAAAAACGTCACAAGGATGCTGTGCGTTTATGCACTGATCATATGGACATGAATGGACGGGAACTGGGGAAGCCACTGTATTTCCCTCTCGTGCCTCCCTAAGCACCTAACCAAGAGCTGGAGGAATTACAGCAGATGCCGTAAAATAGATGGCAAGGTGGGCACAAGTGGAGCCCAGGTGTTAGACGGTACTGGCAGAGCACACTGAAAAGCAGGACGGTTTTAAACAAAATCCTCTGGGTAAAGTCAGGTGAGCCAGGTTGGGACTTGGGGGCACAGGCAGCACGGGAGCAGATTGAGGAGCAGGTGTTGCTAAAACCTACAGTGCACTTGAGACACACCTTAGTGACCAGCTCTCATTGTGAGGGGGCAGGGCTCACGGTGCAAAAAAGGTTGAGAACGCACCAGATATTAGATTCTACTTAAAATGGGCACAAGGAATCATTCTGAGGCTGTTGGTGGCCACAGAGGTTAGGAAGACTGCACGGTGCCCTGGATTCCAGCAGATCACTCAAACCCCAGTTCTGCTGCTGACTCCCTGTGAGCCCCCGCTGCCCCACCTGTACAGTGTGGACACGCCACCTGATGGCAATGACGATTATCCCTGAGGTCAGCTAGGCACAACGAGGTCGGCTGGCCCCATGTCTGACACAGTAAGTGCTAAAGATGCCGGCTTTCTCTTTGATCTGAATAACTATCGGCACCCAGTCCCAGAGAGTAAATTAATAAACATGTGAAAAGCTTTAACTTGTGGGCATTTTCCTGCACTAACAAGAAAGCTTTAAACCAAACTGTCATCTCAGTGTTTATTTTCACCAGTCACATGACAATTAGTAGTGGGGAGTGATTTGGGTGAGCTGGGTGGAGGGATTTATAATCCCTTTCTCCAGAAGGTACGTACAGAACAGATCTCTCCAGATGGAGGAGGGGAAGGAAGGCATTTCCTCTTTTCCTCCTTCTCTACCTCCTTCCTTCTTATTCATCACCATCATCAGTATTGCTTGGCTGGGTCAGGTTTACTCAGTGACTGAGAAGCACTTCTTCTACGCAGTAACTTCACCACAAATGCAGGAATTGTCTAAAAAGGCCAAAGTTCTTGAAAGTCCATGGGTCTTGTCTGGTCTAGGGGCTGAGGAACTTTCTGTATAGGGCCAGGTAGTAAGTTTTCAGTTTGTGGACTATATGGTTTTTGTGGCAACTGCTCAACTCTGCTGCTGCAGCACAAAAACAGCCCCAGACAAAATACACAGGAAGGGCCAGGCTGTGTTCCAATAAAACTTTATTTACAAAAACAGGAAGTGGGCCAGACTTGGCCATGATTTGCCAGTCCTTGGCCTAGACACTTCCCAATCACCCTTCCACCCACTGCGAGCTGACTTTAGATCTCTGCTCTACTACCAGGACTCTGGAAATGTTACCAGGTGCGCCTGTGTCATGAAATACATTCAAAGGATAATTTTTCAGGGCTTATCTTATTGGAGTGCTTTGCAGCATTGACCAGTAATTTTTTCATATTGTGGTGAAATATACACAACATAAAATTTGCCATTTTAACGATTTTTAAATGTACAATTCAGTGGCATTAAGTGTATTCACAATGTCGTGTAACCATCGCCACTATCCAGTTACAGAACTTTTTCACCATCCCAAACAGAAACTCTGTATTCCTTCTCCCTCCAACTCCTGGTTACCTCCATTCAACGTTCTGTCTCTATGAATTTGCCTATTCTTGGTTCCTCATATAAGTGGAATCATAGAATATTTGTCCTTTTTTTATCCTCACCCGAGGACATCTTTTCCATTTTTTGTTCAGATAGAGTGGGAGGGAGAGTGAGGAAGAGAGAGAAACATAGATGCAAAAGGGACACATCGAGTGGCTGCCACCCGCACGACTCAACCAGAGCCGGGGACAAACTGCAACCGAGGTACGTGCCCTTAGCGGGAACCGAACCGGGGTCTCTCCGGACTTCAGGCCGATGCTCCAACTGCTGAGCCAAACCGGCCAGGGCGAGGATATTTGTCCTTTTATGCTGGGCTTACTACACTCAGCATAATGTTTTCAAGGTTCATCCATGTGGTAGCATGCATTTAAACTTCATTCCTCGCCCGGCTGGTGTGGCTCAGTGACTGAGCATAGACCCATGCATCAAGAGGTCGCTGGTTGGATTCCCGGTCAGGGCACATGCCCAGGTTGTGGCCTGATCCCCAGGGCGGGGGGAGAGGGCGGCTAGTTGATGTTCTCTCTCATGATGTCTCTATCTCTCTCCCTCTCCCTTCCTCTCTCTCTAAAAATCAATAAAGAAAAAAAATCAATACAGAAAATAAAATTAAAAACAAACTTCTTTCCTTTTGAAGGCTTCGTAATGTTCTACTTACTGTATTATGTACCATCTTTTGTTTATCCACTCATCTATAGAGGGACACCTGGACTGTTTCCACCTTTTGGCTACTGTGAACTAATTGCTGTGAACATGAATGGTCAAGTGCCTGTTGGGGTCCCTGCCTTCCGTTCCCTTGGGTATACTGAGGAGTGGAACTGCTGAGCCCTGTAGTCATTCTGTGCTTCACTTTCTGAGGAACCACCGCAGTGTTTCCACAGTGGCAGACCCGTGTTACGTCCCACCAGCAGTGCGCAAAGGCTCCGATTTCTCCAGTCCTTGCCAGCACTTATTTTCCACTTTTTGATAATAGTTATCTTAAGGGGTGTGAAGTGCATACCTTTCTTTATGAACCATCTTTAGCTTCCAGAACACTCTCTAATTTTCCTTTGCCTCCAATTAGCCAACGTTCTATGAGCACTATCCTAAGAATGTTACAGAAAATGTCTCTTGTAATCCTGACAACAGCCGTATTAATAGAATAACTTGCCCCTGTCACACGCTGGGTAGGCGGCAAAGCCAGCATGTTGGTCCTGGCTGTCTGCCTCGAGAACTCAGCTCTTAGCGACCACCTCGCACTGTCACCGCCTCTCTGGACATGCTGTCCTCCCCTTGCCACCCCTGGCCTCGCCCTGAGCGCCTGTGCTCTCGGCTGTCTCTCTGCTCCAGCCGTCCTCCTTGGGCCATCTTATCATTCCACTGGCCTCCACAGCCTTTGAACGCCAGACTCCACAGCAGTCCAGAGCCAGCTCCCGCCTAACCTGTGGGCTCACGCAGCCAGTTGCCTAATGGATACGTGTGTCTTTCAAATGTATTCCAAACTGAACTGGTCTAAGACTGAATGACTGTGTCCCTGAAGCCTGTCCTTCCTCCCGTTTTCTCCCTCTCAGTGAACGACATCCTTACCCATCTGACTCCGGGAGGTTGGAAACTAGGGTTATCTTGCACCTTCCTTCTCCCTCGTGTCCTCATCCAAATCATCGCCAGGTGACAGTCTCCTTCTGGACACCCCTGTTCCCATCGGGCCTCCACCTTCTCTTCCCGACTTTCTGTAGCAGAACTGAGTTCCGGCCTTTCCTCCTTCCAGTCTTTCCCCCGACAGCCCCTGGGATTGTTCTACAGTGTGAATCTATCATGTTGCTCCCCTGACTCTCTTACAGAACTTTTTATTTTGAAATAATTTTCTATTATACAGTAGTTGTAATAATAGCACAGTGTGTCACACTGTATTTTCACCCACTTCCTCCTAATGCTAGCATCTTAAATAGCTATGGCACATTGGTAAACACTAAGACGTTAACGTTAGCAGTATTAACTAAAATAAAGACTTTATTCATATTTCCCAGTGTTTCTCCAAATATCTTTTTTCTGTTCCAGGACCCAACCCCGGAGCCCACATGGCATGTAGTCACCGCAGCTCCTCCGCCTCGGCCCAGCGGCTCAGCCTTTCTCCGCCTCACGACCTTGACGCCTGAAGAGTGCTGGTCAGGGGCGCGGAGAACGTCCCGCAAGCGGATTTATGTGATGTTGTCTCATGAGAAGACTGAGGTTATAGATTTAGGGGAAGGATATCATAGAGGTGAAGCGCCTGTCTCATCACATTTGCCAGGGCACTATACGTGAACACGATGTTACTGGTGATGTCAGCCTTCCTCACTTGGCCAAGGTGGTGTCTGCCAGGTTTGTCCACTGTAAAGTTATTATTTTTCCTTTTCCACACCCTATTCATTAGAAATGAGTCCTTAAGTCCAGTGGAATTAAGCTCTACTTCTGGGAGGGGGAATATCAAAGCATATTTGAATATATGTTAAAACCATTACAATAAGTAATATATATTTTGGGGGAGATACTTTGAGGCTATGTAAATATCCTGTTTCCCAGAGTTCACCCCCTAACTTGAATATTCATCAGCAGACCTTGCTCATAGCAACTATTTCTCTGTATGCGGCGATTTCATCCCCTCACACCTCTACACCTACCAGTCAGAATTCATCAATAGGGATGATTTGTCCCTCCTCCCCCAGTTATTCAACCATTTATTTATTCTTCCCTGCTTCTTAAAATCTTCTGATGACTCTCCATAAGGGATGAAGTCCAAACTCTTTAACACGACACTTGCAAGGCTGTTTGCAGTCTGGTCCTTCCTGCCCCTCCAGCCCCCTCCCCTCTCTCCTGTTCACACAC